TCTCTCTCTCTCTCTCTCTCTCTCTCTCATAGATTTCAGCAATGACAGACCTCTGTAACATAAGATAGATTAACAAGAGAAAAGCAAAGTTTAAACAAGTGGAATTGATGCAGGCTAAAATGCCGTTTTTAACTGAAACAAGAATGCAGGGTATTAGAAGGGGTCAGTATGGGGCAGGTGCTTGTAAGCATCAGAAGACAAGTCTGTTATGTAAGTTTAGGTCACAGCTTTCCTTAGGGTAAGAGTATCTGATGATTTAGTCATCCTTATCTTCCGCAAAAGATAGACACCCTTACAAAAGGAGGTTTTCCATATGAATGCACATTTTCCTTAGGAAAGAGTAACTCTGTTTTTAGAGCTTTTCCTAAACCTGCAATTTCTCAAAATAATCAGCTCAAAGCCAGACAAACAAAAAAACTTTATGCCAAAGAGCCAGGGCAAATGCTGCCTCCTAAATTGTCATCAGGGATCAAAATAAAAAACTTCCAAAGAAAGGTGAAATGGGGAACCTTAATCAGGTTTCCCTAGTCAGCCATAGAAAAATCTCTTCTCAAGCCTCTTCTGTTATTTCCTTGAGGACTTCTTTCACTTGTTTACCAAAGACATAGCATAGTGTATATAGTAAGTGCACTTACTTTCACAGCTAGGTTATCTGAGAGTGAATCTTGGTACTTATTAGGTAGGTAAAGTTGGGCGAATTACTTAGTCTCTCTTAATCTCAGTAGCACTGTATATAGTGATAACAATATATACCTTTTACTATTGTCGTGATTATTAAGTTATTTGAAAAGTACTTAAAAATGATACTTTGCATGTAGCAGATTCTACATACACATAAATGTTTGTTAAAGTAAGTTGTTACTTGATGACTTATTTTGAAAAGTTTCTAATAAAGTATTTAATAGTTGAATACTAATTTATGTTGAGACTATTATGCTGGGCTCACAGCTTCCATAATTTCTATTCCTACCATCTAAAAACAGGAACATACTCAATTTTTAAGCCCATTCACAAGATATATTAAGCTCTCTGTCTTTAAGCCTATCTGGAACCATTAATGTTTTCTGATTTATACTGTGACTAATACTGAGACACCTACAATAAATGTAGAATAAGCAAGGACCATGAACTCCAAAACACATCCTGTCTCCTAAAAATTAAATGATTAGATTGTGAAGAAGAAAATAATAAAATAAAAACATTAGGAGGTCATTGTGTTATAAGGCTGGGGCCTGCTCTGCAGAGTAGGGGCAATCACTCTTGTCCTTGCTGATTCTCATGACTCCACAGAAAAGAATTTGAGTGAAACACAGAATAGTAAGCAAAATATAATAGACTAAGACGTGAGTGTAGCTTACAGCATAGGAATTACATAGACCACCTAAATAGAGGATTATATGGTGCTCACAATTTTGGAATTTTTAAGAAAACTGAGTCCCCTGTTTTATCTAATTTTTCATCTTTTTAATTGGTTTATTCTATACTTTGAATAGGACCATCAAGTTTTTTTTTTTTGTAAGGTCTTTATGTTTTGGCTGTTGGGGTGATTTAAGGATTGTGACATAGTTCTAATAAGGGAGGGTCCTGGAAACTTGGCTACAAGAGATAATGATGACACGTTCGATTGGTCTGGAAACTGGGAAACTGTAGTTTTTCTTAATTAAGGTTGGGGTAGGTTTTGATATACCAGGTGCCATCTTCCAGATACTTGTCTGTAAGTTAAGGCTCCTGTGGTTTTCAGTTGTCCTTCATTGTCCTTTCCCCTATCCACCTGTTCATGGCTAACTACCCTACCCAACAATTGAACAATTGGACTTAAGATGTCCACGGTAAATATAGCAAGATGTAGAACTTTTGAGTCTGAGAATCCAACAAGGCATCAAATATTCCTGTTTTTCATTAAATGCAAACAATAGCCAAATTTTAATCGATACAAATTCCATTAACTTCCAGATCCTATGTCTCTATAGCATTTAAAACATTGCTTTCAGAGAACCTTGTAAACATTTAAAAGTAAACATTTCTTCCTTAAGTGCTGGGGCAGGAGAAAGGTAACTAAGATTTTTGAATATATGGTTACTATATATTTTTAATTAAAGACCAAAATATTGGAAATGGATGACATTTAGCCAATAAATGGCCTAGCAGGAAAAGATTTCACACATAGGTGGTAAACCCCAGGGCCACAATGGCCTCAGCATACTATTTTCCAATTCCAGAGAAATAAGTTGGAGGATTAAATGGACAGGATTTGGACATTTTATTACCCATGTGCACTTCAGCAGTGGCGAGAGTGGAAGGCAAGATAAAATGGAAAGTCACAGGGCCCAGGACGTGGCTTTGTGGCAGAGTGCTTGCCTAGCATGCACAAAGCCCTGGATTCAATCCCCAGTATCAGACTTCTCTTTGCCTCCCCCTTCCTAATGGCTTTTCTAAGAAACTCTTCTCAACAGTGATTTCACAGAATATTAATAAATGAAAAGAAAAAGAAAAGGAAAGCCACACTGTTTCCACAAGCAAGGGGAATGTTCAGGATAGATTACATGCCCACAGTGCAGATAGATTTCAGATGTTTTGTGAGTACATTTCTTTAAGATTGGAGACAAGAGAAGTGCCCATTGCCCCTCTCTATTTTCTTCTTTACTATATTCTCATTATCTCACTGCCATTACAAAAAAAATTTTCCTAGGCACTGACTAGTGTTTACCCCAATGATAGGTATAGCGTGTAAACATATAATGGATATGACTTTGAAAACCCTAAAATACCTGTTTCCCAATGCCTCCCTAAAAAAAAAAAAACAATAACCCCAAATTTTCTGGTACAACAGGGCATGTGATTTCACAATTAAGACTTTTATTATCTCTTTGGTTTTGTAAATCTGAGACATATATGTGATTTATCAACATAATGCATTTTAC